GGGAAGGACAGCAGCGTTCTTCAGGTAGCGCTCTTCCAAACCTGTGGGTCTTTGAGCTTTGGCAGAGATACAGCTGTAAGTGTGATCTAACCTGACTGACGTTACAGCTGCCAGCTGTGAAAGCTCACAGGGGTCTGGACTGGAAGAGACGTCCTCCACCAAGAATCCCCTCAGGTGTGTGGGAAGAACCCTGGTTCTTCTTGGACGATGCTGCTCTGTGATGTTGACTGGAAAAGCACTTTCCAAACTGGACAAATTGATGAAACTTATCAAATTGTACAGATGTAACGAGCTTGTAGCATGTGTGAACGTATCAAGGCTTCAGAAACAGTTGTTTATTTCAAATATCAACTCAAGCTGGACTGACAGAATGTTGAGACTCATTTAATGTGTGATCTTTGTTTAGATGTGATGAGGGCGTTGCGTTCCTTCACGAAGACACACATGACTTCCGCTTCCCCAAGATGCCGCTTGTGTTTGGCATTGCCGCTGTGGCTGGAGGATCGTTTCGTTTCGTTTTGTTTTATTTATTTTATGTGCGTTGCTGTTATTAAGTTTGTCCTCCTATGATGTGTCTGCCGTGTGGGCGTATGATCGCCAAACGTTGATTTTAATTCGTTCATCTGTGACCAAGTGTGGCGGCTTTTGTACCTGGAGTGGCTTGGTCGAATCAACCCTGTACCGCTGTCCACCTGCATCGGCCGTCTGCATGCGGGAAGGAGAGGGTCTTGAGAGACGTACTAAAAAGCGGAGCAGAAGGAGAGGAAAAAGGGCTGGGAGACAGGTGCATCTCAGGAGACTCTGGAGGTTGGAGCAGTGCTGTGCTGTTTCCTGAGTGCCGTGTCTTCGCCCCTTGGTTCCGATCGTCTATAGCGGTCCGTTTCTTCTGCCCCTGAGAGTTTGTTCGACCGGTCGCGGTGTGTGCGACGAGCACTTGAGGCCGCTGCCGCGTACCTCTGTCTCTGCTCCTGGTGGTAGATCTGCTCCGCTTAAGATGGCTTTGTTGAATGTTCGATCAATCAGAAACAAGTCATTCCTGCTCAATTAACTATTCACTTATAAAAATTGGGACTTTATGTTGTTGACGGAGACATGGCAACGGAGTATGGAGTTTTCCCATTTGATTGAACTCTGTCCTGTGGAATGTTCATTTATCAGCACACCAAGGCTCGTGGGCCGTGGGGGTGGACTTGCTGTTGTCTACAAAAATCAGTTTATTTGTCAGTTGATGAACTCCAATACGTACTTGTCCTTTGAATTACAGGTGTCTAAGGTTGGTGGATCAAATTCTTTTTATTGTATTCTTGTTTATCGGCCTCCTGGGTCTTTGGGTCCTTTTCTAAGTGACTTTACTGACTTTTTATCCTCCATCATTAAGTTGAATAGAGTTATTATTGTCGGTGATTTTAATATTCACGTGGATAATGCTGCATGTAATACTGTTTTAAATTTTTTTAATTTAATGGATACTTTTAATTTTGTTCAACATGTCTCTGGTCCTACACATGATAAAGGACACTTGCTTGATGTAGTGTTTTCTCATGGTTTAAATATTGATGATGTGTGTACAGAGGATGTTTATGTTAGTGATCATAAATGTGTTTATTTAATCTTGCGTGTAACGAAAAACCACTGCCGGTCAAGCGGGTGTCTTGTTCTCGCATGGTTACCCAAGTTGCTGTTGAAAATTTCTCGACCGCTTTTGATTCCAACTCGGTTATTTTCTTAAATGACATTGACAGTTCTGTACAGTCGTTTAATGATCACTGCACTTTGTTACTGGATAAAGTGGCTCCATTTAGGAATCGACATATTCCCGTGGTTAATACTTCTCCATGGATAAATGATGTCATTCGCAGTCTCAGACGTGTGTGTCGGAAGACTGAACGCTTGTGGAAATCTACGCGGCTCCAGGTTCATCGTCTGTATGTTAAAGAGTTACTGTCTGATTTACATGAGATGATCAAGGTGGCCAGAGAGCTCTATTTTAAAAATTTGATTTCAACTTGTAAAAGGAATCCTAAGACTTTGTTTGACACTATTAATGGTCTTGTGTCTCCTGTTATATCATCTGTACCTGTTTTTTCTAACGATGATTGTAATAATTTTTTGTCTCATTTTTTGGGTAAGGTAATGGCTGTTAGGGCTAGCATTTTACCATCAGCTATCCCCTCTGTAATTATCACAGAGCGGCCTTCAATTTTAAGCTCTTTTCAGTCAATATCTTTATAATGATCTTATAAAGATAGTTTGTACGATGAAACCTTCCCAAAGTCTGGCGTATATTTTGCCTCACTTAACAACTATAGGCCTATTTCTAAGTTGCCCTTCATTTCTAAAATCCTGGAAAAGGTTGTGGCAATGCAGTTGAATGATATTTTGGAGACTCATAACATTTATGACAAATTTCAATCAGGTTTTCGCAAAAATCATTCTACTGAAACCGCCTTACTCAGGGTATCAAATGACATTTTGATGGCCACAGATGCGGGGGAAATGTTCCGTGTTGGTTATGTTAGATCTCAGCGCAGCGTTTAACACGGTAGATCACTGCACTTTGATTAATAGATTACGCTATTTAGTAGGTATTTCGGGTTCGGCTCTGGATTGGTTTTCATCTTATCTGTCCGATAGGACTTTTTCGGTATCTGTTGGATCCTTTATGTCTGATTCTGTACTTTTGTCCTGTGGTGTGCCACAAGGTTCTGTGCTGGGCCCTTTGTTGTTTAATTTGTATATTGCTTCCTCTTGGACAGATTATTAATAGTTTTAAAACAATTTCTTATCATCTATAATGCAGATGATATTCAGTTACTTATTTCGTTTAGACCTGATAGTCTAAATAAACTGTCGGTTCTACAGGATTGTTTAGTCTCCATTAATAAATGGATGGCAAACAATTTTTTGCAACTTAATAAGGATAAAACTGAAATGATGATCTTTGCTCCTGACAATATTATACCTAAGATTAAGCAGGTTTTGGGGGTTTCAGCCACTTCAGATTGTAATGAGATAAGAAATCTAGGTGTCTTTCTGGATAGAGCCATATGTTTTAACAGTCATATAAAGTCTGTAGTTCGCTCATGTTTTTTCCATCTTAGGAACCTTGCTCAGATTTGATCGGTGGTCTCAAGAAAAGAGATGGAGATGCTTGTTCATGCCTTCATCTCGTCACGTTTGGACTATTGCAATGTTCTGTACACTTGTTTAAATAAGTCATCTATGGAGCGACTACAAGTTGTACAAAATGCAGCTGCAAGGCTTTTGACGGGTACCAGTAAGTGGTCTCATATAAGACCAGTTCTCAAGGACCTTCATTGGCTCCCAGTTGAATTCAGAGTGCAGTTTAAAATTGTAGTTATCACTTATAGAGCCTTGCACGGTCAGGCACCTCTCTATATTGAGGATCTTTTATATAAACATTCACCGGGTAGGCTCTTAAGGTCTTCTGGTCTGGACCTCTTACTTGTCCCTAGAACACGTCTTAAGACTAAAGGGGATCGTGCTTTTTGTACTGTGGCACCGAGGCTTTGGAACTCTCTTCCATTAGCACTGAGAACTGTGGGTTCTGTTAATTCTTTTAAAAAACTCCTGAAGACGCATCTTTTTGGACTTGCTTTTATTTAACAGCAGTGGTTACTTGTCATTTCATGTTTGTGAAGATTGTTTTGTGTGTTGTGTTATGGTGTATTTATTGTATGCATGTTTTGATCCTTTTTATTAACAGATTGTAAAGCACTTTGTGACTTCTTGTCTGTGAAAGGTGCTATATAAATACATTTTACTTACTTACTTAAAAAACAACACTTGAAATCAGCAGTAGGTAAATTAGAGCAGCATGTACAGCATACATGTAGACCTATGCTTCTTATTATCTTCATTCACAGACAGTTAGGCCTATATTCTTCATCTTTGTGTGTATAGTGGTGTTTGTTAAGGCCAGCATCACTATTAGGAACGGCTCTATATTAGTGGTTCATGAATGAATCTTTGTGTGTTGAATGAATCTTTTATTGAATGAATCATTCTGACTCGTTTGTTCACTAAAGTCTCTTATTTTTGAAGTGCACAACTCTAGTGCCTTTTCCTGCCTCCACAGACTGACTAAAACACATAGTGTGGCTTATGAAGAAGCTTTTCATTGTTTGTGAATCTACTTAATGAAGGTTTGAACGAGACAAGCTTGTTTGTGAATGAAGATACATCCTATGTACATATTTATGTTAACTTTTTTTTATAGAAATAAAAAAAATTTAGCTGACAAATTAAAGAAAAACTAAGGTTAGATAATAACTTTTTTTTTTTACATGTAAACCAATACATTCTCATAATAAATAAATAAATAATGTCAGACTGATTTTTAACCTTTTTAAGCCTTACATTCTGTGTCTAGACTAGGCTAAACTGCCACGTAACCTATTTTGACGAGTCGGATGGATCATATTTAGTGGGGGGAAAAAATAATTAAACGATAATTCATCGATCAGTTGGCTACTTTTACTTTTAATACAGTACTTTTTACTTTTAACTACATTAAAAGGTAACCTTTGTAATTTTACTAAAGTAAATATAATAGCATTACTTATTATAATCAAAGTCTATATCTAATAGCTATCATATAAAATAAGGCACGCGACCCTGCTCTCTCATGTGATACTTGATACGTTTCTCGGCGCTGTTAAGGATGGACCAATCACAGTCATTTCCAATTAATCGGTAACTCATTTTTACATAAAATATTATAGTAATTGCTGTGTTGCATATCAATTTACATTTCAGTTAACAATCCGTGGAATGAGAATTAATTTAAAATAGTATACATTGTAGATTACACAACTTTATTGAAACCAAAAAAGCCATGTGATTTGATTGAGAATCTGCCTTTCTGAGCCGCATAGCGCCCTCTAGAGGGACATTATTTTAGAAATCGCAAGCAAAGCAACATTTGCTGCTCGAAACGAAAACTATTCTTTTACAACACCTAAAGAGAGGAAAACAGTCGTTTCAGTGGTTAAAAGCGTCAGCGTTTTCATTTAACACACGAGCCACATGACCACAAGTCTACCGGTCATGTGAAAGTTGCCCATATGATACGCAGCGCGTTTCCCGTTCAGCTGAATACAGACGGTCAGTAACGTAATAGAAAACAGTACACGCGCACACATGCACTTTAAATCCTAATGTCAGCGCAAATCCGTAGTAGACTGAATACACTCGATGGAATAATGCATTCAGACTGTATTTGTGAGAGCTTGATTGTTTATACGAAGTCAAACAATGGCAAACAAGTACTCTAAACGACGAACGAAACGAAATGCACTGGGAAATGAAACAGAGCAAGAAGCATCATTTGCCCTGACTGTAGAGGTAAGAATAACATTTCATCGTCTGCCACTTTTTTTAAACCCTTGTGCATCAATTTAAAAATGTTACTCTGAGGTACTTCGAGGACAAAAATGTCAAACAAAAAAAAAAGTTACAGAGGTTTAAGTTTATGAAAATGATTTATGAACTTTTGTATGTGAAATATATATGTAATAGAACACGTTGAACTCAAAAACTGCTAGAAAAATCCAAGCCATAAATCAAACAAGTTGTGTTCCAAATTTGAGGTTTATATCTCGAAAAAATTTGCTTTCAGTAAGATTTTGTTTGTGTGCAGTTCCAATTTTCCCCATTGGATGCCAGCAAAGCTCGGTGGTTTTGTGATTTGCAGTACAGTAGAGTTTTTCTCTCCTAAATATTACACGCACACACACACACAATTTTTTTTGTTACACGCATACAAACCACATTCTGACATCCATACCAACACACCCACACAATTATTTGCATAATTTATCCAATTGGCTCTATTATACGCAGAAGCAGAAAACAGGAAAAAACAAGTATTTGCTTTACAGGCCAAACCAGAGAAAATTACACCAACTGGTAAAAAATTATAATTTTTTTAACCCTTGCCAATAGAATGAAAGCCTATTAACAAAGACTGTATCATTTTATAGTTAAATGGCCCTGGGATTAAAAATTGCAGTTTTAATGGGTTTCAAAGTGTAATTATTCTGTGTACCTAGTGTAAAATAGATTTATTAAAGGAAATGGCGGTGAAATAGTAAAATTCCAATAAAAATGTATGCAGTTGACATTAACACAGGCAAAATGATCAAAAAGACAAAAATGTCCATAAGGACGCCCAAGGGTTAATTTCATTTAATTGTATTATTTTGTTTTAAATTCTTTTACAGAAGCCTCAAAGACAAGGCCCTGGGGAGGTGATCTCTAGCTCAGCATGGCAGGACATCAGGAGGAAAGTGTGTCTGCTGGTGCCATTCATGTGGCCCAGAGGAAGTGTGCGGCTGCAGGCTCTGGTGATTCTGTGTGTCGGGCTGCTTGGTCTCGAGCGCGTCATCAATGTGTTTGTACCCATTTACAGCAGGAATATCGGTGAGACTAGGCTCTTCAGCCATGCCTTTAGAATTCAATCAAATGTCTGTATTAATTTTATTGTCATTCCACAGCATGGACAAAAATGCCCCACCTTAAAGCAGACCTTGAATGAATCTATTTTTTTTTTTGTATTTTTTTTTTTTTGTCTTTATTATTTAAGGGTTTAAAATACAGTAAAAACAATAATATTGTAAAATGATATTGCAATTTAAAATAACTGTTTTCTGTTTAAAATATATTTTAAATGTACTTTATTCCTGTGATGGCAAAGCTGAATTTTCAGCATCATTACTCCAGTCTTCAGTGACAATTCAGTGTCGGAAACCGTGATACAATTGTGTTCTTTAATGAATAGAAAGTTCAAAAGAACAGCGCTTACACAGTGTCTGGCTAATTATTGAAAAAGTGAAAATGTTGTTCTGTCTTGTGTTATTTACAGCTACTTTTGTATTTGTATTTTGTATATTGTTTTAACACAAAGCCAGTTGGTTCAATTGACATAAATGGATGAAATATATACTTGGAAAGTCCACATAAAGATTAAAAAAAAAAATACTCTTGAAAATAATTTCTATGGGGCAAATATTAATAATAAATAATAATAAAAAAATTATGAATAAAAAAAATCTGACATTGCCCATATATTCCTGTTGTTGTTTTACAATTGCTACGACGCATTTCTCAAAACTTGTGTCACTTTTTCAAAACTCTTCACACAGTTCCCCTAAACAACTTGGCACAGCAGTTCATTTCACTTCACATCCAAAATGCACTAAAACTACAAAGACACTTTATTCATGACTGAAATCAAGCCATTCTTCCATAACACTAAAAGGTTGTCACCCAGCAAACGCACTTTGTCACTCATAAAACACTGACTGTCACTACCTAACACACAACCTAAAAACACTACCAGGTAGCATTACACAGGGTTTTCTTTTGTAAAACTTCTTTACAAAACAACAATTGCATCTCTCTGCTGTTTATAACTCACTGCAGTATGTTACATGGTCAATGTTTACATTCAAGTACAACATTTTTCCTAAGTTTTCCCCAAATGAAATTGAACGACTAAAACTTAGGTGTTTAGCTACGTCTAATTGTTTTAATAGTATTTCAAAGTTATTTTTAGATTCAGAATATATTTCAGTATGTTATAGACTGATGTTGTGCTCACTGTGTGAAGAGTTTTGAGAAATGCGTCCTAGCAAATGTAAACAAAACAACAACAACTGAAATCTAGAAATCTATCCTAGTGATTGTGAAAAAACTGTAAAGCTGAAAACCCTTTCACTTTTTGTTTGTTGCATTACCACACGTGACCAGTAGAGGACAGCATCTTTTAACATTTGCCCTGTGGTGCGCAACATTTGTGCATTAGTGAATAAATGATTTAATTTGTTTGCAGAAATAATTGGAAAGGCATGCAACTGTGCTGAGGGCATTTTTAGGTTTTAAAAAAGGGTATAACAGATACATAATTCAAATGCTACATATCTAAAATGGCTAAAAACAGAGATATCTGTTGATGAGGAACTATATGTAAAGGCAGCTTTGAAACAAGTCAAGAATGTATATGCGGGAGCATGCTTGTGAAGTCAGGTTGCCCCTCCTTTGCCAGTTTTCTCAGCCCCTTGTTGTGGGCCAGCTGGATGGGTGAGCAGCCCCTAAAACCTCCCAGAGAAGTCAAAGCCTTTGGTTCACATAAGCCAAGAAGTATCGAACTTCCACAAAAGAAACGTGGGACAAAACCCAACTATGCTAAACTCTTCTGTGGCTCAAGAAACTTTGTTTCCACCCTTCATTCTGTTTCTTTTTTTTCTTTCTTTCGCCCCCATTTTTGAAATTCCCTGTCTTGATTCATTTATTCATTCTCTCTTATCATCCTCGCTCTTTAAGTGTACGCTGTTCATTTGATCTCTTCCTGAAGTCGGTGGTGTGTGTATGTGCTTCATTATCAGAGACGAGTAACCGCTTTGCATTTGGAGGCACATGAAAGCCACGCTAGGAGAAAAGTGAGCTTTTGTGTGGCAGAGACAGATTGAGAGGGGTAATAGGGGAGGTCACCAACCCTGCCAGTCACGATTAGGGGGCATTAGGGGCTTTTAGCCGAGTTAACACGCTGGTACAAGGGCCCTTTTGTCCGCAGCTCTTTCTGCCCCTATGCCAAGGATAAAAATCAGCTCTCTCACCATCCAGTTCTACTCCCCCAGCTCAAGAGAGAGGAAGAGAGTTTTTGCTTGTGCCCTGGGCATTTTCTTGTATTGTTTTGATTTTTTTTCCTCTTTTTTTTTTTTTTTTTTTCAACCCTCCACCTTTTTTCTTTCCTCATTCGGTTCCGAGCGCACGATCAAAACGTCCATGAATGTAAATGAATCGCATTGAGGATCTTTCTCAGCTCCCAGGACAGACCTATGTGTTCGCTTTTTAGATGCATTATGCTGTGGCTCCTGGCTCAGACGGCATCCTTTTGGATGTTTTGTTGTGGATTCAAGTCAGTGAGTTAGCGGTTTTGGGCATTTGTTAAATTTTGGTGTGTTGAACTGAAGTCATGTAGTTATGCATGACTCAGGATGTTAAAGTTTTATTGTCCGTGTGTGATTAAAGGGTAGATGTTCTGCACACACTCATTATTAATAGGAAAACACAGCAGTGAAATGTGTTCTCAGTATGTGCTTCCCATAGAGAGCCTTGGGGATATTCATGCAGTTAAAGGGATAGTTCAGCAAAAATCTTACTGTTCAAAAGTTTGCAAGGATGCATTAAATAGATCAAAAGTGACAGTGGAGACATTGATAACGTTTGTATGTATTTCTTTTTCAAATGCTGTTTCTATTCATCAAAGATTCCTGAAAAAAAAACGTATCAAGGTTTCTACAAACATAAGCAGCACAATGGTTTTCAACATTGATAATAATAAGAAATATTCCTTGAGCAGCAAATCAGCATATTAGAATAATTTCTGAAGGATCATGTGATACTGAAGACTGAAGTAATAATGCTAAAATTCAGCTATGAATCACAGTAATATTTTAAAATATTAAAGTAGAAAACTACTTAGAGTTTCACAATATTACTATTTTTACGATCAAATAAATGCAGCTTTGGTGAGCGTAAAATAATTTTCAAATATATATATATATATATAAAATCTTACAGACCCCAAATTTTGAATCGCAGTGTATGAAAAAGGTTTTTTTTTTTTTTTTTTTTTTTTGCTAATCCTGACTCAAAACAAGAACATTTACCAGTTGAGCCAGCACATGTGTTAATGCACTCACATCTCTGTGTTTCTGCATTTTTAATATTCCAGTGAACCAGCTGTCAGCATTGGAGAGCTGGAGAACCCTGGCCATCACGGTCTGTGTTTACGTCCTCCTTAAGTTCTTGCAGGGCGGAGGGGTAGGTGAGGGTTGACATTCATATTGATATTGTAAGGAAGAGGCATATGACGGTGGTTTTAAACAATACAGCTCTGTACAAACCATTAACTGTCTCTTTCCGCTCAGGAACGTCAGGGTTTGTCAGTAACTTGCGCAGCTTCCTGTGGACACGTGTCCAGCAGTACACCAGCCGTGTGGTGCAGGTCCGTCTTTTCGGTCACCTGCATGACCTCTCTCTGCGCTGGCACCTGGGCCGCCGCACCGGAGATGTCCTGCGCAGCATTGACCGTGGGACCTCCTCCGTCAACAACTTGTTAAGGTCTGATGATTTCCTTTGATTTTCTCCCTATTGCTCTTTTAAAGAACTTGGCTAGTTAGACATGCTATGCATTAAAATGCTCAACTCTTTTTTTTATCTTTAAATATTCATTATTGATTTGTGTTACAGCTATATTGTGTTTAGCATTGTACCCACTATTGCTGACATCGTCATTGCCATCATCTATTTCGTGACGTACTTCAGTGCCTGGTTCGGCCTCATTGTCTTCATTTGCATGTTCTTCTACCTCAGTAAGTGCAGTACTTTGATTTGTGCTATCAGCACCACACTTCATATTATAAGAGCTGACATTCAACAGGCACATTTTGATGTCTAGTTCAATTTGACATTTGTTTTCAGCTCTCACCATCATCATCACTGAATGGAGAACCAAGTACAGGCGGGAAATGAACACACAGGACAACAATGCCAAGTCAAAAGCAGTAGACTCACTTCTCAACTTTGAAACTGTAAGTGACCAAATGCCATCACACTGTTTCCCTAGGTTGGCCATGGAGTGTTGTTAAGTGTTAAGCTTGCAAATTTTACAAAATGTGTCATACCATTTAGGTGAAGTACTATAATTCAGAAGGTTTTGAAGTGAGGCGCTTTGAGGATGCTATCCTGAAATATCAGGTAATACGATCACTTAAACTTTGACTTCATAAGCAGTTGACTGGAGGAGAGACACTGAGTTGGATTCTCTTTCTGCTCAGGCATGTGAATGGACGACCAATGCTTCCCTGGCCCTGCTGAACCAAACCCAGAACCTGATTATTGGATTGGGGCTGTTGGCCGGATCGCTGCTTTGTGCATACTATGTTACAGTGGACAAGTTTCAAGTACAGTAATCACTACTCATAAAATGTAGAAATCTAGTTCTTATTGATCTTGAGCATAACTTTTGTTGTTCATGCGCTGTTGTTGCTCTCATAGGTTGGTGACTATGTTCTCTTTGGAACATATATTATCCAGCTCTACACTCCACTCAACTGGTTTGGTACATATTATAGGTAAGATTAGAAAAGGAGGATCTGGGGCGCTCGCTATATTGCTAAATGTATACGATTTTTCATATCAACAGAAAACTATACCGAGATAACCTGGCTTTTCTTGAGACTCCCTTGCTTCACGGAATAGTAATGATATGCTAAAGCCCACCCGCATTTTAAAGTGATTGGTTACAAGGTAGTCTTTTTTTCACTGAAGTTTTAAGGAGAAAATACTCTGCAATGGTGTTGACTTATGAATTTGCACATGGTTTGTCTTAAAGCATATTATAAACACCACATAAACATATAAACAATATTAAAAACTTTCAATTTTCACCACATGGGAACTTTAAAAAGAAAATGACAGGCATTAGTGATGTTTGATTGTATGGCAGTTCTTGCCAAAGAATCTAGTGTGTGAGAACATGTCTGCTGAATGCTGCCAACAAATTTTATAATTATAAAATTAAATAAACGATTTGAGTCGTTTTTGTAGAGTTGTTACTGAATTTTGAATTTAGCAAAAAGTTACGCCCCACATGCTCATGGCCAATTATTGATATTAGTCATTAGTGTCACTTCAGATTGCTCCCTAGTTATATGTATTCTATACTGTATGTAGCTAGTGTTATGTTGTAATGCTTAATATTTGAAACAACCCAACAAATTCATTAAACATTATCTTTGGGGATTTTTACATAAGTTGGAGGTTATCATAACTTTAAGAGATTATTTACGATGATTTTTAAGAACATTCTTTTCAGGAAGTTTTGTCTTTAAACCAACAATCTTAAGAAATGTTTTGGTAATACAAAATATTCTTAACTTTATTATAAGATAAAGAAAATAGAAATTAAAACGAATTTTATCCCTCTGAATGTTTTGTGAATCTGTCCCTTTGAATCTTAGGATGTGTTCACAGTTGGCAGGTTTGGTTTGATTAAACTAAACTCTGGTGCGGTTCATTTTAATAAGTGAAAGCTGCCATTCGAAACCATGGTGTGCACCAAACAAGCGGACCCAGACCGCTGGTCTCTGTCTGCTTCCAAACAAACTCTGGTGCGGTTCAATTGAAATATGAATGCAACACGGACCAAAGACATCTAAACGAAGAAAAAACAGGACAGGTGTCACAAGATGCGACCAAAAAAGGACATAATGCTGAAGCATACCTGGTTCTTCTCATCATAATGTTGCCCATTACAGTTCAGCACAGGTGTTGGAAATACAGTCTCCTTACAGGAGATCTTTGTTTGTGTGTAACGGAGGAATTCCTGACGCTGTCTGACTCCTTTACACATTTTATAAGCTCTTTGTGAGGTTCTCAGCTGGTAAAATACTATCATATGTAGCACATACGTTCCAAAACGTTTCATAAAAGACTTTTTGTTTTATCATTAGGTTTGAACCAGGACTAAATGTTTCTTTTTCTTTTTTTGATCTGGACCAAGAGAACAGCACTACAAGTGAACACACCCTAAGATTTAGTTTATTTATTTTCTTGCTTATATATTTACAATTCAGGCAGTTACCAAACTTTTCAGTTCCTTGACTTATTTCATTGCGCTGTTGTGTTTGCACAGAATGATCCAAAGTGCATTTGTTGACATGGAGAGCATGTTTGATCTACTAACAGAGGAAAAAGAGGTGAGTAGTCACTAAAGATAGACTACAGTAGTCAACATTTGAATTGGATCAAAAAAGTTCTTCAAAGTTGTCCTAAGACAAGAACGGGTAATGTTCAAAATTCATGTATAACTGATGAAAGGTTTTGATCCACTTCAAATGTTGACTACTGTAGTTTGTACAGCACAAATACCCATCTAATCGATTCCTAAAAGCTGCATTGCGCCCCCTCTGTACGTGCCAGCGTTGGTCTTGTGGGCCAGTGAGTGTTGATTTATTGTCATGACCTCCTGCACTGACTCAAGTTACCCCCATCCTTTGGGAACCCTTTCCCCAAAGTCACGCAACCAACAGCCAACCGTTCCTCGACACTCCCACTGTCTTTAGATTCCATTCATATGCAAATAATCTTATTTAATCTTCGCGTTTCTTTTTATTTATTCCCAAAAGCTGTCGCAGCGAATTTGCTGACTGATTCTTGAACTTGACCAGAAAGAGGCCTCAACGTTTTTGCCAATAAATCAGTTTTAATGCATTCTTCAGGTTTGCTTAATTCACTGCCATCCCAGTGCCCTTCTTGTCTCCTGTGATACAAGCCCAGATTGCTTTTTCTAACTTCCAGATTCCTCTCTGCTGTAGGTAAAGGATGATGTGAATGCAGGAGACCTGTCGTTCACAGAAGGAAGGGTTGATTTCCAGAACGTGTGTTTTAGTTACACTGCTGGGTGAGTCATGCTAATATTTATAAAGGCAGATGTTTAGGTAGAGCTTTTTTTGTTCTTGTTTTTACATCTGAATCGTTTTATTTCCTGACAGAAAAGAGATTCTCAGTGAAGTCTCGTTCACAGTGATGCCTGGTCAGACAGTTGCACTGGTAAAATGTTATCAGAATTCTACATTTGTGAATATAGTGCACCAAAACTTTTACAGAATAAGAAAGTGTGTAAAGGTGCAAGATGTTCACCTCCGCTAATATCTTATTTAACAGGTTGGTCCTTCCGGATCAGGAAAAAGCACCATCATCCGCCTGCTTTTCCGTTTTTATGACGTGCAAGGAGGCTGCATCCTCATCGATGGTCAGGACATCTCAAAGGTCAGGAAACAGGACAACAGACATTTTTATGGTCAGGTGAAAAGCTTCTATCCACCTTATTTTTCACATAAGAGCGGGTGTGGCCATTTGCAAATTTAATGTGTCTGGCTTCCGGTATCATCCACTTCCAGTAAAATTTAGCTATGTAAAACAGCTTGTTATGCTGCTTGATATTGCAAACCGTATTATTTTAAAATGTATAGTCGTAATTATAAACACACTGTTTTATAGCACAAATAGTTTTACATTTTACTGCATTATTCTTCTAGTTATTTACCTATAGTGGCACATTCACAGAAAATAGCTTACTTCTGCATTGCACAATAAGGTGGATAGAACGATTTGTACAATTGCCATAACCGGATCTGTGAGATTTTAGAGAATGGTTAGATTTAAGGTTAAAGGGTTACTATATCCAAAAATAAAAATTGTCAACATTTACATTTACCTCATGTCATTTCAAACCCATACGACTTATCTTAGAAACACAAATGGAGAAATTATTAATATTCTCATCATTTTTTTCCATCCATTGATTGAAAGTCTATGTAATCAACATTTTCAAGCTTTAAACGGATAATAAAAACATAAAAACGCATCACCTGTGCGTTCAGCTCACATGGTCGCCTACATTTCTCTTCATATTTCATGCACAAGAGAAGCCGCATAGTTTATATAAAGGTCTAGACTGTAGCTATAAAAAAAAACGTTTTAAAATTATACCAGAAATCTTTCTCGACCCCGCCTGCATCTCTGCTGACCTCTAATGTAAGGTTTGAATAGTGACAGGGCTGGTGTTAGAAGAGAAGAGTGTCTTACTGACTGAAGAGGACAAAGAACTTGCATTAAAATGTGAAAAATTAATTTCCTACCAAGCTTGCTTCAGACTGTCTGCTTGAGAAGAGATTGTTCCTTAGTTATTCTAGTCACAATTCAATGTCAAAGTGTTCTTCGTAGTGCAGTGCTAGCATTGATAATGTTGTTACTAGTGTCTCACACATAAACTGTGAAGTCTTTTCAAGCACAGAGTGAGACTTTTATCTTTTATATCTGTGAGACTTTTGGTGCTCTACTCTTGAACATTTCCATTGCTTACACATACCGGACTGTTCAGTTTATCCTATCTGAATAGCCATGGGAATACAAATTCTTAGTGATTGTACAACGCAGAACAGTGTGTAACAGGAGCCTGATTGAGGTGATGTTATACCAGACCGTACAAGCTGTCTCACTGTTAACTAGAATGCAGTGACACCAGTGATGTAAGATGCAACCATAGATCATATAACCTCCACTACACATGACAATGTTCTGGGAATATGATTTACGGTTCCCTCTTTCCAAGTAAACCTGCCCCCCTGTGAATTAATCATAGTGAGAGAGACGTAAATAATGAATATGGAGCTTTAAGCTGCTTTTACTCCAGTGGCCTCTTGCACAGAGCTGATCTCTGCTCACAACTGCTAGATTCACTTCTGGACTGCTGGTCTGATCCTGGACAGAAGGTTGTGTTACCTTTACTCACAGGAATGTGCAGCATGACTTGATATATTTAGCAAATATTTATAATATAGAAGGGAGGGGGAACGAGTAGTTGTTTGTAAAGAGATGCAGTCATTATAAACTGTTTACATGCAACCTGGAAATCCAATCTGATCATCCAATATTAGAGGGTTCTTTTCATTTATATTTAGGTTATCTGTGTTAACATTCACCTAACACTCACATATAATCAATCTTTACTGGTCGTTTAATAACACTGTTAAATGTCATTTTTAGCAAATCTGAAAATTAATATCAGTTTTCATGGGCCAAAAATCAGTTTTAGCATTTAAAAAAGTTGATTTGGGCCCTTTATTTTGAATTTATAGAATAAATTGCCTGATGAAGGTCGTAAGACCGAAACGTTGCCGCTAAATTAAAGTTTTATTTGCAAGTACTGATAGTGTGCGGGAGTTCCTATTTGTAGAATTTATAGAATACAATTTTAATGTCAGAAATGTATTAGTAACTGGCCATTACATGACAATATTTTTCTGTAACAATCTATTTATTTATTTAATGTACTTGCATGAACATTACCATTCAAAAGTTTGGGATTGAATTTTTTCAAATGTTTTTGAAAGAAGTCTCTTATACTCACCAAGGCTGCATTTACTGTAACTCTGTTCTATTTTTAACATATTTTAAATGTAATTTATTCCTGTAATGGCAAAGCTGAATTTTCAGCAGCGATTACTCCAGTCTTCAGAAATCATTCTAATATGCTGATTTGCTGCTCAAGAAACATTTATTATCATCAATGTTGAAAACCGTTAATGCTGCTCAGTATTTTTGTGGAAACTGATACATTTTTTTTTTCAGGATTCTTTGATGAATAGAGCTTAAAATAAAGGGCATTTCTTTTAAAAATCGCACTGACCCCAAACTTTTGAATATTTTTTTATTTGCCTTGTCGAGGTGCTTTAATAGCGAACACAGTACCTGAATAGTAGAGCAGGAAACATGGTTTATGCAACCTCCTGTGTGCTTCTGCTCTTGAGATAGCTGAAATAATCGATTGGCTGAGAGTGTTTGGAGATGGAAGCTGTGGTTTGGCATTTAAATTGTCCTATCTCTCTCGTCCTCTCCTACACACGCATTCACAGCCTCTCCAGTATCATATCAAATCCATGAACCACAACCCTGCATTCAAACAACCGCCTTCACACTTGCACACGATGGCCAAACATTCCTGCTGCGTTAATGTGTTTGGAGCGCAGCAGGAAGCATGAGGTAGGTCAGCGTGCCAGTACTCTCATAGGGAGTGAGCGCTTTCTCACAGTACAGGCATGAGGGGAGATTTACTTTTATAGAGCAGCTGTCATCAGTTCAGTATCTCATCCCTCTCACTACTGGCCAGATCCAACTCATTAAACTCACTGGAACATTAGCATTTGGACTCCTAAAGTATGAGCTGGCAAATGAATAGATCTTTCGCCAAGTACTGTACTACTTGAAGTATGTTGCGTGAAACTAACTATGAGATATATTTTTTTGACTGAGATGCACTCTTTGGCTCTCGGGACTTGTTCAGACAGGCATGAAAAATCGATGTTGTTTTTTTTAGGTGCTTTGAAAATTTTGAAACTTTGAAAACAGTCTGAACGATTATATCATATTTGATGTGCGTTTTTTGTCTTTTTTTTTTTTGTGTGTGATGGGTTGTTAGGTCAGGTGTCTAAACAACAAACACATTTATTGATGAAGTCTCACGCATAGTGAACCTACATAAGTTTGCATTGTTACTATGACAGCCAAAGGCAACTGCAGTCCGAACAGACAAAGTTTGATGAAAATGCCTAAAATGGCTTTTAACAGGGTTGTGGACATCAGCGAAAGACAATGCTAAATAAAAATAAAATGTCACTAACTAAAGGTTAGATGAATCAGACAGTTCTTTGGGAGACTCCAGCAAAATATACATTTGTAAGAAAGGTTACAAAAAATGTTAAGGTAAAGAATGTTATTCGTCTATTGTGCGACAAAGAACAAACAATTTACAGGCACAGAGTTGGATGTTCTCAATGTTTTGAGAACATCCAAATGTTTGTGCTGTTTGCGACAGTGACTAAAAAAGGCATTCCTTGAGCCTTCTGCGACAAATGCAACAAGGCACTAACATACAAAATCTGAAGCATTGCTTGTGTGGGAATTGAATAAAATAGCCTATGAATGAGACCAATCTAACAGGACTTGGCTCGCAATATCCACGTAGACTACAGGCTTTTGTGGACAGGAGCAGGACAAAAAGTTATAAATTGATTCATTGTCCTCTTTAAAATGGAGGGGAAACTCTTAAAGTTATGCGTTTTATATCAGGTAGTATTTCATAGATTCCCTGTAACTTTAGAAGTGAAAATAAAATCGTTGTCATCATGACCAAGCAGTTGTGCAACAAATCTTGTTATATTCTACGAATCAGTCACAGGATACAGACACGCACACTCTTAGCAAGAAACATCTGTTGGTCATTCTTCATGCTCATTTTCTCAGGTGTAAATAATAGATCAACATTTGAATACCAAGGCCTTTGATGGAGTGGATTCCTCGAGGCTGTTTTCATTCTGGTGCTTGTCACTGATTCCACCTTCTCCATGCAGCATTGACTCCCTCGTGTCTGTGAAAGCTGCATGTGAGACGCAAATTCATCTTGTCAGATGACGAGGGGAAAATATGACTCAGAAATATCAGAGCTATTCCTCATCTACTTCACAGCTGAATGAGTGTTGCTTTATGAATGTTGTCATTGAAATAAATGCACAAGTGCATTCCTTCTCTCTGAGTTTCCTGACTCGTAAAACAAACAAACGGCGATTGAGAGAACAAATAACGTGGTCGGGCATAAGGCAGGGGGAACGGAAAAGATTGTAGTGCGCTAATAACGACTAACATGAAAGCTTTGTTAAAATGTGGAACTTTTTCGAATTAGGGTCGTAACTTTGAGGGTCGTAACTGTTTCTTTTCAAAGGAATTAGAAGTGGCTTTTGATGGTAGGAAATGTAAGTTGTTTGCCAGTGTGTATTAGGGAGGGTGGAGTGGGGGGCGTCCGCTGGGGCTCATTGATCTTGTAAGGGATGGGAGCAGAGAAACACAGACACCACACTGACAGCTGACGGGCCACATGTTCTGCTGCGCTCGCATGACGCACACACACACATCCGTCATGCACCTGACAGACAGCACTGCTCGTGCTTACCACCCCAACCTTTTGAATGATAGCGTACGTAAGATAAGCCTTTGGGATTAGAACCGTTTATACCAGTCTCCACAGTGTTAGTTTGTATTTTGATATATCTTTTGTATAAATTAAAAACAATTTAAAGTGTTGTAAGAGAATTTTGTAATATGTATTCTTGGTTGTTTGTCGAGCTCATGGTGCTCATATGGATGATTTAGGTTTGAGTTCAGCCTGCAACATGTCCTGATACCATTCTTTTTCTCTGTCACCAATAATTTCC